TGTATGGATTTATAATTAGTTATTCTTACCATATCGGTAATCTATTATTTCCCTCCAACTTCTTTCACTGAGTTCCTTAATTATTGATGTGTTCTGGAGGGTAAAATGTGTATATTTGTGTGTGTGTGCGCGCACATGTCTAAGCAAAGCTTCCGGTGTATGTGGAACTAAGCCATTTCTCTTTTCCCTGGACATCAAAATGAGTTTGGTTGAGCAATCCTTCCACCCAATCAAAGGAAAGACACATGAGCACATATGTAAGCTCCAAACACTGACCTTCAAATTGTTCCACCTCTGAAGGATTAACTTGACCTGTTCACAATACCGAATCCAGCCAATACAGCTCAACCATCCCTTCTATTTTTCTGTGAGGGCCTTTACCCACCTTCATTCTTCTCTTCCTTTCTACCTCCTCCTCTCCTCTCTATACTTGGAGAAGACCAGGTTCCCACATCACTGGGAGCAGGTGGACCATCTCCCATGAACTCCCTGGCTTCTCACTTCCCACTGTCCCTCCTCCCACATGCCCTAGGCTTTCTGCATGGTATAAGAGTTACAGAATCCGTTTAGGGTTATCCTTGATTCTTCCAAGACAAACAGGAATTCATCTACTTCTTTCCGTCTCTCTCACGACTACAGAAGGCCAAATCATCATCATTTCTCACCTGGACTACCACCGTGCAAGCCACCCCAGTTAGTCTCACTGCTTCTATTTTTGTCTCCTATAATTAATTCATTCTCTCATCAAACAGCCAGTGGTATCTTTTTAAAACATGTCACTCTTCTGCTTCCAATCTTTCTCATCACTCCTCAATTAAAACCACATTGCCCACCTCACCCTCCAAAGCTCAGTAATGCATGCCTTCCTCTGGCTTTCAATTGTACTCGCTCACTACTCGGTTGGTTCCTTATGTCTATTCCATGAGTTTTCCATGCTAGAGCTTTGTGTCAGCTCTTTCTTCTGCCTGGAATGCTCTTGGCTCAGGTCCTAGTTGACTCCATATCTTTCATATCTCAGATTAATCATCACCTCCACAGGAAGGCATTTGCAAACCTGATCTACATGCCCAATACATTATGTCCTTGACAGCAGAAATTTTGCATGTTTCTTTTGAGTATCAGCAACCAGTCCAGTGCACAGTGCACATAAAAGTTTAGACCAATCCTACCTGAAGCACTGTCTGCTAATTGATGCTATTCCATGGAGAGCACTGGTCTTCAAACTATTTGTTATTAGTTGGTGATGATATCAACAAAGAAACATCACCTCTATTAGGTTAGTTATTTTAAAACTAAGCTTATTTATCACATTAATACTTAAATATAAATAAATACGGCATTCATTCAAAGTGGGTATACAGAAATGTAATATGGGCAAGCAGTATTTCACCTATATTTCTGTTTAACACCCAAATCCAAATAGGCAAAAAATCAGGAGTATAACAGTGACACCCTACATTAATCACTGTATACACATTTCATAAATAATATTACACATTTCGCAATACTTTTTTCCTTATGCAATTTTTTTCTGATTATAAAAACATAACTTATGTCTAATAAACCTAACTAAAAAATTTAAGCTCCTATGCTTTATTGTCCTGTCTTGAATTCTATCTTTCTCTGAAGTCACATTTGTCATATTTTCCGAATGTCTAAGGCCACAATGATGGGGATAGGAGGACTAGTTTTGCACTGCAGGCATATGAAAAGCACTCGTGTAGATGACCATGGCTTGACCTCCCCTTGACTGAGTTCCAGTCTCACTAGACTGACATGATTCTATTTTTGCATTTGGTACTGGTATTTGACAGTCTTGGTTTGTGAGGATGGAGAAGAGACCCGAAGCCCTGAATACCTTGCTGGACTCACTGTGCACCGAGGCAGCAGATCTAGGAAGAGGAGGTGGTCAGTCGCTCCTGAGGGGTCTTTCCCTTCAGGCATGCTATTAAGGAGGATTAAAATACTCAAAGAAAAATGGATTCCTTCACAATCCTGCCTCTGGCAAGATGTGAGAGTAGCAAGTTGGATGGCCTGTTACAAAGGTCCTATGAACTTTGAAGATAAAAGATGAAGACAAGGAGTGTGTCTCCCTTGGATACGCAGAAAGGCTCCGTGGTATTTCATGAGTTTAGGAAGAGGATTCCAACCACTCTGGGAGATTTGAACAAAAATAATTACACATAACAATAGATGAAACTACAGTCAGTGCCACAGAACATTTGGTCCACAACAGGTCAAATATGTAAGAGTTGCTCTATAAGATTACCATGGAGCTGAACTATTCCTGTTCCAGGGACAACATAGCAGTAGTGACATCATAGCTCAGCCACTACTCATGTGTTTGATGGTGGTGTCAACAAACCTACTACGCTGCCAATCATAGGTAACATGGCACCTACACCCATGCTCAGTACCACACATGGTACTTGATAATAATAAACAACTGCCACTGGTTTACTTATTTTCTACACTATACCTTTTATCATTATTTTAGAATACACCCCCTCTGCTTTTTTGAAAAAAAAGTTAACTATAAAACAGCCTCAGGCAGGTCCTTCAGGGGGGATTGTAGAAGAAGGCCGGTGTTACCACAGAAGGTCACAGCTCCATGTGGGGTATTACCCCTGAAGACCTTCCAGTGGGACAAGATGTACAGGTGGGAGACAATGATATTGATGATCCTGAACTTGTGTAAGCCCAAGCAGATGGGTGTGTTTGTGTTTTAGTTTAACAAAAATGTTTTGAAATTAAAAATATGTAACACCACATGGCCTTGGTGTATAAAAGGCAGGACCATCTGGGTTTGTGTGAACATCATCGAACTTCATAGATGAAATATCCTAACATTGCCTTTCTCAGAGTGTGTTTCCATCATTCACTGACTCATATACTATTCACCATCACCTGGTAAGTGCTATCTTCTCTCAGTAATGACACTAAAAAGTAAAGAACCTGGTCTATGCAGCGAATCCTGGGCCCTACTTTAAGCCTGTAAGTCATTTACAATGTGAGTGCTGGGGTCAGTCTGTTTCTGTCTGGAAGACAGCTTGCTTAGCAGGAGGTAACACTCGTCTCCACCTCAGAGAATTTTTGAGGATGAACTGAGATGTGCACACAAGAGAATCTTGTCTGAGAGCCTGCCACCCAGTCACTGAAGGACCCAGCACCACAAAGGTGTGAATGTCAGGGACAGTAATGGAAAGTGGTTATCTTCTCAACTCAGGCAAGGGTCTCCCCAGGGATCCTTCCCCAGGACTCATGGGGCTCACTGTGCTTGCTCACTGTTGAGAGGTAGGAGTCAATGAAGTATGGACTTGCTTTTGGAGAACTGACTAACGGGAAGGAGGGGAGCCATGGTGTGTTACCATATTGAGCATGTACTACACACCAGACTCTCCAGCAGGCACTTCCTTTAGGGTTAAAAACCAAACTGCTTTTTCTTCTAGTGACTGCTCTGCTTTCTACTGACTATGTAAAGTTGGCAAGATAACATGACCTCAGTTTCAACGTCCCACTCTACAAACTAGGGATAATGAGCTCCCAGAGTGCACACTATGGAATTGCTACAAAGGTTAAACGGGTTAATACATAAGATGCTTAAGTCTGACATAGGCACCTAGGAGGCATTCTGTGACTATTAATAAAAGTAAAAAGGAAAGTTAACAAAAAAAATAAAAAAGAAAAAAAAATGTGCCTTTCCTCCTTCCTCAAAGATGGCTTGGAGTCAGTCTGCTTATCGGCTTCCCTCTTCTCCCCAATGTCTTAAGGTTGGGCCATCTCAGGGACCAATCCTTATCCTTCTTTTTTGGTCTCTTCAACATACATTTTCACTTTCTTGACAATCACATCGAGTCTTCAAATCCCATCTGCTAATGACTGATCTCTTCCCTAAGCTTTGCCCATTCAGCATGTCCACTGGTAGGACTCTCAGACACCCCTAACCCAGCATGCCCATAACTGAACCAGAAACCTGCTGCTACTGTCTCTTCCCCTTCTCACCTGAGCAAGACCATCCTTCTAATTCCTCAGGCCACACTCCTGAAGTCATCTGTGCCTTCTCCTTCCCTCACACCCACAACAGTCCATGAGGGTACTTGGCAGTATCCATCTCCAGAACACATTCTAGGACATCACCACTTCTCACCAGCTCTCTTGCCACCACCAGGGCCTGCCTGATGTCTGACTTGGCCTCCACCATGGATCTCCCACGTCTACCCTTTCCTCTTGGTAGACTACTCTCAACACAAAATTAGTGTTTACAAAATTAGTCAAAACACACCAACTTCTGCATAGTACCACCCAATGGCTTCCAGAGAAGGGCCACGGAAGTTAGAGTGACCCTAGCAGCCCTGAGTGATCCGGGACTCCAGAATCTTCTTCAGCTTATACCAGGGACATAAGTTCTTCAGGGATAGGATTTTCTTACACCTTGCTCATGGGCAGATCCTAAGCTCCCAGAGCACTGCAGGGCACACAGTCAGAAACTAATAAATACTGACTGAATACGTAGCTGCAAAATATAATCTCCTGAGAGCTGGCATATTGATGAACTCATAAGGTCAGGCCCAGGACACAGGCCCAGCACACTGGTTGTTCCCGGCGTTAAACTCACATTCACCCAGTCCTCTGTCTTGGGAGAAGCAGTGAGCAGCAATCAACTCCTGTCCAATAGCTGTTGGAAGGTCACCATGCACAACCAGCATCTGAGGGGTAATTTACTAGGTCAGAAGTAAAGCAAATGACTGGGATTAGGAAGTGCAGTTCCTAAGTTTCCAGTAGTAAGCTGAGCTCACTTAGCTGAGTTTCCTTAAATAACCATTCTTCTGTGAAGGCCAAGTGACCAAATTGGACTCTTGTCACTCCCCTGGACCATCCGGTGATATGAACCCAGATGGGAAATATCATTTTCCCTCCTAACATGATCACCAAAGCCTCAACACACTTTGCAAAGGGAGAGATTTTTTTTTTCTCTTTTTGGAAGAAAGCACTGGACTCACCAGGATGAAGACAGTGAAGAATATGACCACAATGGCAGCTGTAATGAACAGCTTCTTCCGGGGGAACACGGCGGCCGGGAGGAGAAACACCAGAGCAAAGCAGATGGCGCCTCGGAGCCCTCCATAGGCAATGATGAACTGATCCTTGAAGGTCAGGGGAATGGTCCGGAACCAGTTAATGACCTGAGTTAGGACAAAGACACCTACGAAGAAAGACAACCCAAAAGGAATTGGAGTGAGGTCAGGATGTGCCAGTGTGTGGACTTGGCTTGTTTTCTGTGTCTGTGACAGAACCAAGTATTTAAGAGTCAGCCTCGAGGCCTTTCCCCTTTTCCTGTCTGAGGAGCACTCCTAGGTTCTTGGCTCTGGCTCTTATCACTCCAAGTGAAGAGGGGAAAATGTGGAATCACAGAAGCCAAGGGAGACGAATTTGACTTACAGCAAAGCCACGAAGTTACTTGGGGAAGAAAAGAATGTACAAGGAAGGAGGAGAGGAGAGAGGAGGAGAGGAAGAAAGAGATGAGGAAGGAGAAGAAGAGGAGGAAGGAAGAGAAACAAGAGGAAGAGAAGAAAAAAGAAAAGAAAGAGGAAGGAGGAGAAAGGAAAAGAAGAGAGAGAGAAGATAATGGAGATGAGGGGGGAGAAGAGAAGGAGGAGGAGGAGAAGAAAGAGGAGTAGAGAGCAGTATATAAGGAAGAAGAGGAAACAAAGAAGATGAAGCCACAGCTGTAGCACACAGGGAGGGACCAGAAGAAAGCCCCATTGTGTCAGTGTCCCTGGATGTTTGTAGAGCAAACAAGGGCTCATTACCCAGCGCTCGCCAGATCAGACAGAAGGCCAGGGTGAAGCAGACAAAGGCCCAGTTCCACTCATGGTTCTTCCCAACCGTGGACACGCCCATGAAGATGAAGATCAAGGTCTCGCTGACACTGCTCAGCATCTTCATGAAATACTTGATGGTCGTGTAGGACTTTTGAGATACATTTTCTTCCACATACTTATTCATCGTCATGGCGCAAGCTGTGATTCTAAATGAGAGGATACAGCTTCTGTTTAGAAATGACAAGGATCCTAATCCACATACCAGAGTGGACACCAGAGAGCTGAATTAGCATTTGACCCTCTACCCATGACCACAGGATCACTGATTGATTTTTATGAGTGAATGTGATTTGCATATGAACTTTGTAAATACGATGATCCCCGGAAATGTTCATTAATACCAAGACTGGAACCATCCTGCTCCGTCCAGTTTGCTCATCACCTCAGACTCCTCACCCAAATACACACTTCCAAAGGTCCTTAAGCATCAGCACATCAGCATCTCTCCTTTTAAGCCTCAAATGAAACAAGTTCAAAATAAATCTGAAACCCATTATTTTCCTATAATAACAATTTCTTCTCTTAAACTCTATTCCTCTATTATCCAAAGTCCTAAACTATTGCATAAGATCCCAAACTTGCAGTTGGAGTCTCACTGGCCTTCTCTTCTGCACACCTCCTCATATGATTGGGTTCCTGTTGTTCTTGATTCTTCAACCTGAATATCTCTTGGACTCACATTTTTTTTTTAATCCCAACACCAACATTTTGGGTCTCATTTCTGTGTTATCTATTATATCTACTACTGTGAGATTCAAAATGTCTAATAGGCTCTGGGAATTCCTAAAGGAAAGAAATTATTTTGCTTTTTTTCCCCCAGAATTTGGTTCCAAAACTTGGGGATCCTTTTTTTGTTTTTAAGAGAGAGAGAGAGAGAGAGAGAGAGAGAGAGAGAGAGAATTTTTTTAATATTTATTTCTTTTTTTCAGTTTTTGGCGGACACAACATCTTTGTTTGTATGTGGTGCTGAGGATGGAACCTGGGCCGCATGCATGCCAGGTGAGCACGCTACCGCTTGAGCCACATCCCCAGCCCTGAACTTGGGGATCTTTATTCCACTCTCATACTGTCTATTTCGATGTGGAGCCTTTGCACACTCTGGAAAAAGATCCAGTCCCCAGTCCTAAGTTGGATACCCCAGCTCTTCACACACTATCTTTGGTGGACAACCCCAAGCCTGATGCTCACCACATGCCTCAGCTGTCTGGAATTTGCCAAATGTCCCCTTGATCTTGGTCACCTTCTTGCCTTCTGCGTACCTGGCCTCCTCCCTATCCACTTTATCACCCTGACCAACTCAGATGCCATCCGCAGAGGGAAATTTAGTATGAGCTGGGTGACAACTCACACTAGGTTCCATCTAAGACACCTATAGTAGTTACTATAAAGCATCAAAAGGACTTCATTGTGTGAAGGTGCTGTAAAATGAAAGAGGAAGACGGAAGGAAAGTGAGCCACCCCACCTTTCACACAGTGACAACCAGCTGCCAGTCATGATCTCTGAAGGTTTCCACATTCCCACAACTCAAGAGCCACAGTAACCCTGCATGCACCTCCTTTCTCTGCCCCGCCTCCTGGTCCCCCTTATCCCAAGAATATATCTGATACTTTAAGGAGCTCTGCCTACCTTGAGCATCAAAACAGGCAGAAGGAGGTGGACCTTAGGGTCCTCTGTGTTAGGGCAACCACAGATTTGTTTCACTGCCAAAAACAGACCTGTTCCTTGCATAGAAAGTAGGTGTGTTTATTCTTGTGCCCCCTATTAAAACAAACAGATTCTACCAATGCAAGGACCACGACTTTAGCCACAATGTTGCTGCCTCCAGAACAAGTAGGTGTTTCTTTTTAGCCTTATGTGAGTAGAGAAAGCACCATTTATGTGATTTCCCAACAGAAAGAGTGGCCTTATTAAATGTGCTAATAAATTTCAGCAGACACACACATACACTCACACACACACACACATACACACACTCACACTCACACATACACTCTCTCTCTCAGTAAACCCTTTGCATAGCTGAGGAGTTATCTAATAATAGTCCATGTTTACAGCACCTTTACTATGTGCCAAGGTTTTGTGCAAACACTTTGTATGGATTATGTCAGTTAAACCTCATAGCAAGTTTACAAGGCAAGTTCTATTATCATGCTCATTTTCATAAATGGGAGAACAAAGGCAGACAGAGGTTCAGTTACTCAAGATTACACAGCTCATAAATGGTGGTGCCAGGGTGTACAGCAGGCAGTCTGCTTGCAAACCAGTGCCCATGCAGGACTACTTAACTCCCACCCTGCCCACATTCTTAGTGAGCCCAGTGGTCTGTGATGGGAGGGGTCCTCCTTTCCCTGACATACCCTGAATCATCCATTCTTGGGCACAAGCCTGTGTTCATTTCCTCTGACTGCTGGAAGAAACAACCACCAATGTAAGTTGTTTAGAACACAAATTTATCACCTTCTACCTCCAGAAGCCAGAAACCAAAAATCATTTTCCCAAGGCTAAATTCAAGGGGTTGACAAGGCTGGGTTCCTTCTCGAGAGTCCCAGAGAAATCTCTTCCTCACTTTTTCTAGTTTCTAGAGGCTGCTTACATTTTTTGATTTGTGGTCACATCACCCTGCTCCCCTAACCACATCTCCTCTGACTTCAATTCCCCTCCCTCTCTCTCATGAGAATCCTGTGATTACTGAAAGCCCCCTGGATAATTCAGTCCAACCTCCCCATCTCAAGATTCTAATTTAGGTTCGTTTGCAAAGTCCCTCCTGCCTTGTGAGGGAAGATCTTAGCACGTTCCGATAATTAAAATATGGACATCGCTGGGGGCCACTAGCTAAGGTGTATTGCTAAAAATTTTCATCATTAATACTTTGGCCTAATTTTTCTTTAATCAGACTATATGGAAGTAAGATTTCCAAATATAAAATAACAAGGGCAAAAGTTAGATTAAATTAAGAATCTGAAGGGGAACTGTTTTGTAAAGAAAAGACATATACACAACTCAAGCCAGTGGGCCTTTCTCAAACACTGAAAGTAGAAAATCAGTTTACTGATTTTATTTATACTGGTTATTTTACCCCTGGAAACTCTTTAATTCTATGCAAAAGGTGCTTCAAATGGGGTTTGCTGTGAAGTTATAGTATAGACAGATATGGAGAATAAAGGACACCAAAACACCCTTTACCCAGTTCTACCCTGAAACTTTCATTTTACATAATTAAGCAATGTTAGTTATAGAGTTGAGACCCTTCTTCCTTCCTTATTTGTATCAGATTACCTGAAATACACCCTGGACCACAATGATTAGCTGTGTAATCTTGATTAACTAAACCTCTGGCTGCCTTTGTTCTCCCATTTATAAAAGTGGGAATGATAGCAGAACATGCTCCCTTAAACCTGTTGAGAGGTTTAACTGACATGACCATACAATGTGTTTGCACAGTACCCAACACAGCAAAGGTCCTGTTAATGTGCACTATTACTAGATAAGCCCTTGTTTCTTACATCCCTCTTGGATTTTGATTTTTTTTTATCATTTGAAAACTGATATTCACAAGTTTGAGAAATAGTGCTTTTTTGTGAATGTACTAAACACTTCCCTCTGAAATCATGCACACATCATCTATTGGGCAAGAAGTAAACCATTCGGGCAAAAACTCATCTTTAGTTCACTACATGAGCAATTAACAAACATCTCTATTTAGAAATGATTGAAAGCAAAGCTTTGTTGCAGGAATAATAAATGAATGAATTTTACACGAATGTCCACAGGGGTCACTTTCCATTGCTTTTGTATCATTAACATGACACCAGAAGAGAGGCTCATGCTGGCCAGACACCCTGCTGTAACCTGACACAGTTTCCTACTAGCATCACTTAGTAGGGAAGAACACCCCAGGGAGATACCAGAGGCCCTGGCACCCAATAGTGCCCTACTCAGGAAGTGTGTGCATGTGTACAGCACTGAAGCATCTTAGGGGGCAAATGTTTCACAATTCTCATTCTTGTCTGTCATGTAAATCTGACACACATAACCACTCAAGCAAGGGACCTGGAGGTGTTTTCATGGCAAGAGATTTTTGTTGTTGCAATCTACTGTGACCAGAAGTCAAAGCACCTCGCCTTCACAATGTTGTAATTACACTAACTTCAAATGAGCTAATCTCTCTACAGTAGGGAGGTACAGGCAATACATTCTCCCAGGAACAGAGAAGAATAAAACTTTTGTCTCCTCCATCACAGTAAATCAGATTCCCCTTCATTTTTCTAGAAGAATCACAAGACAATTAGAGAGTTGGCAAAAGGTGTGGGCTAGGGTGTGGCACTCCTCAGCTTTACTCAGTTTGGAGGATGTGGCCAGGAGTATCCTTGGGTACAATCTCATGTCATGGCATAGTACAGTAGCATGACATGGAGAAGTGAGATTTCTTCATTCCTCATCACATGAAGATTTTATACCTGAAACCCACAACTTGTTATACTCATTCTCTAACATCGATGTCATAATATCCACACCAAAATGAAAGCCTAAACTCATTATGTTTTAGAATTTTCTAATTGAATTTCTTAACCCTGAAGTGTTCTTCAGGAAAAAAAAAAAAACTATAGGCCTTTAATATTCCCAGGATAACCTTGATTTTATTAGCTTGTGTCCTTGAATCATCCCCTCCCCCTCCATTGCATGTCACTCTTTCCTAATGTACATATGAGTTAACATGATTGTGAATAGCAGTTCAATATCAACCCACATTTTCTGAGCATCTTCTCTGGGCCAGTTTCTGAGCTGGGATCGAGGAAGATGAAAGCAAGCCAGAGAGTACTGAACCATCAGAAGTCCTCATTTTAGGGTGAAAAGGGTCATGAAGAGCACTTTGTCATACAGAGCTGCATGGTCTAGGGATGAGCAAGGAGAAGGATGCTTTGGAAGTGCAGGGAAGGAAAGGCCCCTTCTGCCTCATAGCGGGGACATCTGTGCAAAATCTCCATCAGCAAATGAGGGCTCAGCAAGCAAGGAAAGGAAGAGGGAAGTCAACTGTCCCTCAGTATCTGCAGGGGTTGGGTTCCAGGAGCCCCCATAGAAAACCTGAGGATTCTCAAGTCCTCTTAACAAAATGGCATCATATTGGCATATTGCCTACATACATCC